AAATAAACCCTAATTCATTTTCAATCTCATTTTCTCTCACTACTTACTCACCCTCTCTCCCTCATCTCTCTCTTTATCCGAAATTGAAGCCCGCCGAAAAAAAGGCTGCCACCGGCAACTGCTAACACCAGATCTAACAAACCCCGACGCCTTTGCATGCAGATCTATGTTTTCGCCAGTACACAGATCGCTGCGATTCATAACCTCTTCTTCTTTGCTCACTACAGCTAAGGCGACGACGAAGGGTGTGAGCGCGCTTCTCCCTGCACAGCTTTTGTAGATTGACGCTGCTGTGAACGGCAGCGTCGCAACTATATGGCGAGATCGACTCCCGTCAGGTGAGGTATGGTGTGGTGTAGTGGTGAATCTAGTGTGGTGGATCTAGGTAGCGGTGACAGGGGTAGAGGTTGTAGCGATGGAGGGTTTAGGGTTTTTTTCGACGGGGTGGGGTGGTGGTGGATCTGGCTATGACGCGATGACGAGTTTGGAGTTTTTTGTTGGGTGGTGGTTGTGGTGTAATGTGGTTTGTTAATGGTAGTAGTGGTAGTGCAATAGTGGTGGTGGTTGATGGTGGTTGGTGGTGGTGGCTGGAGATTCGATAGTGGTGGTGTTGTGGTTTTTGTTGGCAGTTGACTAGATTTAGTGGGTTGGTGGTGGATCTGGCTATGACGCGATGACGAGTTTGGGGTTTTTTGTTGGGTGGTGGTTGTGGTGTAATGTGGTTTGTTAATGGTAGTAGTGGTAGTGTTGGTGACAAGGATGGTGGTGGATATGGCAGGGACGAAGACTAGTAGATGCGGTGGCGAAAGTGTTGGTGACGATGGTGTGTAACCACTATTTGGTGTATGTGACCAATTACTTGGTTATATGTGATCAAGTATTAAACTGTGACTTTAAAATTTGATAACTTGTAACTTGAAAAGTAATTTGTGCAACAAATCTGAAAACCCGTGACCGATAGATAAATCGGGACATGTAATTTTTTTGATTTGTATTCGTGTTCGAGAAGTAATCTGTGACTTATAAAATTTTTGATTTGTGATCAAAATTTAATTTATAATTAATTAATTAGATAATTGTGACCNAAATCTAATTTATAATTAATTAATTAGATAATTGTGACCAAATTGCATATAATCGTGTCCTTACTATGACCATATATTTAATTGGTAAAATATATATTTAATAAATTAATTTATTGAATTTATTTAAATAATAAATATTTTTGATTAATCAGATAAGTACGCGATTTTTGTATTTTATAAACTTAAAACCTGAATTTTGAACTGTTGAAACTTAAAATCTGATTTATGAATTATTCCATTTGAAATTCTATGAAATAGTCTGTAAAAACAGCATGTATATTTAGCATTTCTCTACCGTTAAAATATATTTTTGTACCTTGTCATTGCAAATTATAAGGTGGATCTGATCTATTTTACTCCCTCAGTGTTCTTGAACCATTAAGTTCGATCAAATGATGCAGCATCAGTTGGCGTTGTTGGATAAAGGATTTGCCCGTCAAGCACTCGTGATATTTTGAAATAGATTTATTTTTCAATTAATCTTTTGTATTGATTTGAGCTTGCATTTTTATTTTATGGATGGACTTAATATTATAAATCGAATGTTTAAATCGTTAAGCATGGAAATATTCGATTGACAATTCGATCTAAAATTTATTATCCACCGGTCAATGAAGACGGGCACTTTATTTTGATAAAATGAATCGATTTTTATTAAAGTTGATTTTGACTTTGTTAATATAATTGGGTATATATTTTAGAATGTATTGGACTGAATCTGTGAAATTTAATTTATGAAAGTAATCATATGAATTTAATTTCACTTTACTGTTGTACATAATACATTAATTCTGCGCGGTAATGGACTTCGATTACTAGTTTGAAGTTTTTGATGTATCAAAAGGTGAGATCAAATCACTGATCAATATTTCGGTGTCTTGAAAATTAAAGTGAAATAATCGGGGAATATATATAGCAATAAGAAATATGTTAACCTATTTAATAGGCACTATCATGACCTCTAAGGGATTTTCTAGCTAACGGTTGAATTTGAGCTAAGTAATTAGACATGGACCATTGAATTAATATTTTGATGTGATCATGTGGGACCGTCAGATAGAAAATGAGATTGAAAATTTAATGTATATTTGAAAAATGGCATTTTGGTCATTTTACTTTGTTCCAAATATTTTAAGGGTGCGTTTGATTGCAATGGCGGAAAATGTGTGGAAAACTTTGATTTTAATTAGAATAAAAAAGAAGTCCTTTTTGATTATTATGTGATTTATTTTATTATTGGATAAATGGCGTTTTGTTGAACGAAATTGTGGCCTTAGATTTTGTAGTGATCATGTATTGTTAGATAGAGTCAAACAAAGGGGGTGGATTACGACTCCCTGTTTTTCCGTTTGATTTCAATTTTTGCAATAGATTTTAAGGTTTTTATTTTTGTGGGGTTGCTCCTGCAATTTTGTTACAGAGGATAGGTGCCACAATTTTGACTTAGAAGACTTAATGTCACGTTCTACCCGTTCTACCCTTAATTTAATTAATTAATTATTATTTTATCGTTTTATTATTAGTTTTTAAATCATACTAGGATTTAATAATTTGTATTTAACTCAAGTAGGCGTTTCACAATAAAATCAAAACATATCATGAAAATTAAGTTAATAATATAAAGAGTTAAAAGAACCGCCAGCCAAATTTATATTATGTCAAAAGGGAACTCGTTTTACAAAATACTGGTAACAAGTTCGTTATATGACAATCCAAAAATTTCTAGTCAAAAGAAGTGTCTGCTAATTTTCAAAAAAAATTTCTAGTCAAAAAATTTGACCATTTACAAATTTAACTCTATTTTTTTTCAAAAACTCATTTTTTCAAAACTCATTTTCAATCATACATTTTCTTATAAAATAACATTACACGTAAATTAAAATTTTATTTTATGGATAATTAGCACATAACATCCTTGCGACCTTACATTTTATTTTTTTATATTTGTATCCTTATTTCCACATTTCATTGGGCAAAATGTCATTTTTGTTTATTTTCTCAATTAAAAGTTGTGAAATGACGAATATACTTTTATATTTCAATAATAAAAAAGAACAAGTTGTAACCATAATACCAAAATTTTTTAAAAAAAGTGCAAACGAATCCTAAACAAATTATTAACATGATAATAAGCATATAATGTCCACATTTTTCACTATTATTGTGGAAAACGTCAATATCTTTTATTTTTTGACATTTTTACTATTAATTGCGCTACCTATCATTTCTATCCATTTTCATTCAATTTTTCAATAAAAGCTATAGAATGACGATATGCTCCTATTAAAAAAAAAAATTAAAGATTTTTTTAAATTTCTAATTTTTAATAATTTATTTGTGACTCGTTTCCACTTTTTTTTTTCCAAAAAATTTAATGTCTAATAATTTATTTGGGATTTGTTTGTACTTTAAAAATAAAAATTGGGTTTATAATTGTAGTTAGTTCTTAATTTATCTTTTTTTATATATATTTAAATATGATGGTATATTAGTAATTTCACAGTTTTTATTGAAAAATTGGATAAAAATGAATAGAAACGATAGTTTGCGCAATCAATGGCATAACTAAATGTGAAAATGTTCAAAAAATGATAGGTATGGATATATTTCATGATAATAATGAAATGTATGAACATTATGTACTAATTACCATTTTTTATTTAATTGGGACTCGTTTGTACTTTTTTTAAAAAAAAAAATTAGGACTATAATTACAATTAATTCTTTTTTTATTATTTAAATAAAATAGTACATTCATCAATTCACAACTAATAATTGAGAGAATGGATGAAAATGACTTTTTGCGTAATGAAAGGTGAAAATGCCAAAAAACGAAAGATAATGATATTTTCCACAATAATAATGAAATGTAACAACGTCGTGTAGTAATAATCATTTTTCTTATTTATTAAATGCACATTCTAAAAAAAAATCAACATTCCAAAACTCATTTTCCCACAAATTTCCACAACAAGGGCTAAATTTCGTCAACTAACACTTTGTCCCTGTTTGATCCACATTATGTTTTTCGTTCTCATTCTTCTACTCATTTTCAACCACACATTCTTAATAAAATAATATTTTACATCATATTAATAATTTTTTCTTCTTTTTCAACCACTTATTCTCCATTATATCACTTTAAAAAATGTATTCTCTCATTTTAATGTACATCAATCAGACACTTCTTCCTCCCCAATTAAAAATGCTAAATTAATTAACTGTTTGAGCCCCATTGAGCGAGGGTCCCATCCTTGATTGCATTGAGCAAGGGTCCCACCTTCCTTGTCAGAGAGGACTGTCAATGTTGAGTGTACGTCAAGGGTGTACGCCTAGATTAAATGCATTCTCAGTTTCTAGAGAACGAGGTTAAAACATGGACTTCAATCTTAATACTGAATTTCAACATGGATGTTAGAACCGTACGCGTGTTACAATCTGTCGGTTCTTTTTGTTGGTAAAAAATCTACGTTTTCGCCCCCCGTTTGGCACCCATTAATTTCTCTTCCTCATTTCCATTCTCATTCTCATTCTTCATTTCAACCACACATTCTCCAAATAAAATAATATTACACACAAATCAAAAACTTTTCATCACTTTTCCACCACACATTCTCGCATCAATCACTATTCCAAAATTTCTATTCTCCTCAAAATTAGATTCAAACACACTCAAGTGAGAAAAATTTAATAAATATATATTACGAAAGGAACACAACAAAATATTTTACATTACAAAACATGTACATAGCAGTATAATTGGAACAGAGCAAGTACATAGGTTACCGTGTTTGTCTATACGCAATTCCTATATACGTATAAAGCGAGACGAAATTTGTTCCTGCTCAAGTTTTTCTGGGTATTTCTTTTCTCACACATTTGAGCGGTGAAATTTTAGAGATATATTGAATTCTCTTCATTTTCTTGGTTATAGATATAGATATAGATATAGATATATAAATATATATACACACTCATAGAAACCCAGAAAGAAGGGGGAGGATGCAGATCACGGCGTTGTTGGTGTTGAAATGCAGCCCGGAGGGTTCGGATCTTAATTGGGACTCGTTTGTACTTTTTAAAAAAAAAATTTAGGACTATAATTACAATTAATTCTTTTTTTATTATTTAAATAAAATAGTACATTCATCAATTCACAACTAATAATTGAGAGAATGGATGAAAATGACTTTTGAGTAATGAAATGTGAAAATGCCAAAAAACGAAAGATAATGAAATTTTCCACAATAATAATGAAATGTAACAACGTTATGTAGTAATAATCATTTTTCTTATTTTTTAAATGCACATTCTCAAAAAAATCAACATTCCAAAACTCATTTTCCCACAAACTTCCACAACAAGGGCTAAATTTTGTCAACTAACACTTCACCCCCTATTTAATCCACATTATTTTTTTCGTTTTCATTCTTCTACTCATTTTTAATTATACATTCTTAATGAAATAATATTTTACATCATATCAATAATTTTTTATTCTTTTTCAATCACTTATTTTCTATCACATCACTGAGTTTACGTCAACATTGAGTGTACGTCAAGGGTGTAAGCCTAGATTAAATGCATTCTCAATTTCTAGAGAACGAGGTTAAAACATGGACTTCAATCTTAATACTGAATTTCAACATGGATGTTGGAACCGTACACGTGTCACAATCTGTCGGTTCTTTTTGTTGGTCAAAAAACTACATTTTCTTTACGTTTTCTCTTTCCTGAAAAATATGAATTGCTCTCAGTCCCGCAATCACATTTGATTTGAGCAAAATAAAGGGCCGTCAACCATGGCTGCTGCCTTTACGAGAAATGCCTCCATGCACAATCTACGCCGGAGCCACCGGCATTCGATCGGAGCACGGAATATTCTCCCACGCCAACTCCAATTATCGAAATCGTGCTCCCGTTTTCCCCAATCTGTTTTCACAAGGACCAAGGAGCTTGAGATTTCGGCTTCCACCATAATTTCTTCATCAAGGAAATTGTCTTCTTCGAAGTTCGCGCTATTTGGATGGTACTTGGGGATGATCAAATCCAGGCCCATTGTCACCAAAAGCGTCACCTCCGCTCTCATTTACACCGCTGCCGACTTATCCTCCCAGGTACTCACAAGAAGTTAAAAAATAAATCTTAAAATATATTTTTTTTGTTGATGAAAGTTAATTTACTCGTTAGTTTTAAGCTTAAGCTTAGCCAAACATGCTTTGGGAATAGGCAATGGAATATTGCACGAGACTGGTGGTGTTGTGTTCGAGTTATGTGGATTTTTTTTATCTCTTATTGCTTGATATTATGTTATTCTTTATTATTGCTCGTATAGCTTATTTGGTTTAGCTTGAAACTTGGTTAAAATTAATTTTCTTTAAGCAGCAAATAGTTTCGAGAATAAACATTGATGTCGTGTTTTTTTCTGTAATGAAAATAGGACCATCAAACATGGAAAGGTTAGTAGGCTAAGATTTCTAAATCTCAGTCCTGTTGATAACGAAACTCTTGGGGAACTTTAGCAAATTTTTCGCATGCTTGAAAAAGAGTTTTCTGATTTGATACTGATTAAGAATTTGAAATACTAGGTGGAAAGTCTAGGAAAATTCAGAGAGAGCTTCAATTATTGTTTCAAATTACATATTTAATGTTACTACCCTGCTGACTAGTAAACAAACCAAATTTCATTGTGTTGGGAATTTAGTCTTCCCCACAGCTCAAGATCAATCCAGAATTACAGGAAGAAAATGCAGCACCAGCAGAAAGTAAAACCAGCAAGAACAGATTGATAACCAGAAGCAAAAACAGCAAGAAAGAAAATATGAACCAGCAGAAAAAACTTGAAGACCGGATTTGGAACAGGAAGATTTCTTCCTCAGCCCTTTTATTCACACAAGGCTACATTCAATTACATGAATCAATCACCATCTCAGGTGATTATTTGTACAAGAAATAATACCAGTAGAAAGCTTTTATAGATTAGAGAACTCTTTCTCTCACAATCTCACTCTCTATCTACACCTTTTTATTTCTTCATCAGAACTCTCTCTTTACAGAATTCTACCACTACAGAATTCTCTCATTCTTCTCTACTTTGAGCTCTCTATTCAGAGCTCCAGAATTTTACAGAAGTCCCTAATCCCGAGCTCCATCTATAACACTACCTAAGGCTCCTATTTATAGACATAAAGGAGCATCATTTCAGTTACAAACCAAGGCTCCAGTTGGTTGAAGATTCCAACCACAAATGGCAGTTGAAACAGGTGGTTAAAGGCTCCTTCAGTTGGAATCTGTTTTGCATCAGTTCAGGAATCTTCAAGGAATCAATTACTTACACATTGTCCATTTGACGGATCAAATGAATGTAAAGTAAATTAATGTAAGAACAATGCGGTGAATGCCGTGAAAAGAAGAAAAATCAAAGAGACAGAAGAAGAAAATTTACAAAGGGAAGGGAAAATTCAACAATTTGTTTAGCAATTGTTTTTCCCGTTTTGCACACCACACATGAAAGTTTACATATTAAAGAGTAAGAATTCTGTTAATGGTTTTGTTTTTATCTTTGTACTCGATTCTAAACTAACCAAATTTTGTAGTCTAGTAAATTCAATTATAATAACAATTGTATAATTACTATAGTTGTAATGGTAATATCCGTCTTCTATTAAGGAATCAAGAATACTAATTGAACTAGCAGTAAAGTGAATATGGCAAGAGATGAATTTTGGCTCTTATGAAGATATTAGGATGCTTGATATGGTCATACTTTTGTTATTGAACCAGATATGGAGGTGATGGTATTTGCTGATGATGATGGTAATGATAAAGATGATAATGATGAAGCGACTGAAGCTGAGATAAATTAATTTGAAAACTAGGATGTTTTTTATTTTTTTTTAACTGTTGAATATTTGTTTTTTTTTACTGTGAGTAGAATTTTTTATGACTGCAAAACAGATATTATTTCTAATATTCCTTTGATGCTATATTATTATAACCATTCTTAAGTTGAGTAATGGTATTATAAATTTAAGAATACATTTTGTATAGTGGACTTTCCCGTACCATTTAGTGTCTTACCTTTTATGAAAGAGAACACGTTATCACACATTTCTCTTTAAGTTACATCAACCTGTCTGATTATAAAATCTTGTACAGACAATTTTGGGGGAATCAACAGAAGGATATGATTTGGAGAGGACATTACGGATGGCTGGCTACGGAATAGTGCTATTGGGGCCTTCATTACATTATTGGTTCAACTTTGTATCAAGAGTATTTCCTAAGCGTGATCTCCTTTCGACATTTAAGAAAATAGCTTTGGGGCAGACAGTCTACGGACCTGCAATGACCATTATTTTCTTCTCTGTTAATGCTGCTTTACAAGGTACCGTGCCTTCACTTTTATGTTCACAATGCAATCCTGTATTCTACATATTTTCATTCTTTAATGCAATGTTGGTGATGTGAAAACCAATCTTATCTTGTCAACATTAACCTTTATAATGGCTACGAAGAGCTAACGTGAGTTCAGGCATAATGTAGTTTTAACTTTTAATTGATATTTTGTTACTCATGTCGTAAGGAAATGAAAATGAACAAGCAGATGGAAGCCTCTTTGTGAGAGATAAAATGTTGACTCTGTAGCTCAATTAAATTAATTTGCCTAAATGACAAGTTATAGTGTGTGCTAGCCATGTTGCATATATCTTGCTGTTGCTGTACATTATAGGACAGTCTATAGCAGTTTGAGGATTACGTGCTTCATTTTACATGAGCTAATCATGTTCATGTCTATCATATTCATATAGCTTAGTTTCATTGAGTACTTCCTCTCCTGTTTGCAATACTCAGGTGAAAGTGATTCTGAGATTGTTGCTAGATTGAAGCGTGATTTGATCCCAACAATGATGCGTGGGGTTATGTACTGGCCAATATGTGATTTTGTGACGTTCAAATTCATCCCCGTACATTTACAGGTGAGATCCTCTGTATTTGAAAAGACATTAGCTTTGCAATTAACTGATATTTTTTTCCTTTGTTTTCTGTCTTTTTGTTATGGATTATATGTGTGCCGTTGGGAGTTAACCCCATGGTTGTTATCGTGTTTTCTATGTCGCAGCCATTAGTGAGCAACTCATTTTCTTATCTGTGGACCATTTACATGACATACATGGCAAACTTGGAGAAAGTTGGCACAACATGATGGTACATTGATTGATTTATAGATCTCAGACTAACATCCCGTATTGGACACAATTCTAGAGCATAATGAACAGAAAATTTTCTCCATTTTCATCTTTAATGCTGTCAATACTATTCAACGTATCTTACTAAAGATGTCGTGTGGACATTCGTCCTGAATGCACGCAGGTGGAGGTTCTTTGTAGGATTTATGGCAGAATCAGAAATCTGTACACGGCTGTAGAGATATTATTTCTGATATGCATCATTGTATTTTGGTTATGTTGTACGTTAAGAAAATTTTTATCACTATATGTACAAATCGTTACCAAGCACAGTGTTCGTAAATTCATTCATGAAAATCAACTGTCATACACTATCCATCCCACAAAAGTAGAAACCGAAAATTAGTATGAGAGATCACTTTCAAAACTCAACAAGATAGTAATCAAATCACAATTACAGAGATTAATTCTGCAAATTTCTTTTGCATAAATATTAAAGTTTAAGGTGTCACTAGGTTCCGTTAGCACTCAGATAACTGGAAACATCCTAGTCAATCAGTCCTTGACCCTTCTTTCACAATCACTTCGCCCTCTTACGAGAAGGGAAATGGAAGATAGAAACAGAAACCATAAAAATTGCATAAAGCTGAGCATTAGCCCTTTCAAGTCAACTCCGAAGTGGTGGAGCTTCACCAAATTTCAGGAAGTATGCAATTTCATAAGCAGGGCGCAGGGACAATATCACTTGAGCGTCAAGGTATGCATCACATGAGAAACACCACACTGATAAATCACTGTTCCAAGTACAAGCCGCAGACTGATCAGATTATGTAATGAAAAAGGAACAAGAAACCAATAATATAGTTCTACCCACAAATAAAAGGAAAATAAACCAGCAAGAACCTATAGCTTAGTGCCAGACAATGGTCACTCTGTTGATAATGCTCAAGCATGTGCTTGTTCACAAAACGGCTGCAAAGGACATCTTTGCAGCATAAGCATAGCCAATTCTCATCGGGATGTTGGCACCTTCATGACATTGTTACGGTCAGAAAACGTTTTAGTTCTTCAAGGTTGACAAAAAGATCATAAATAGCACAAAAAATAAAAGAACACAACAATAATGAGTACATAATGGAACTTAATTCACAAAAAAGCTTGGGTGTGGAAACTTTTCAACTCTAGAAGTCCACTTTGAAGAACCTCAACTCATCAAGGCTCGGTTATAAAAGAGTTTCGATTTCTTGACATCAGAGAAGCAAAGCATTAAAGACAGACAAGTTTGAAATTTTGTTTAAATTCTGCAATGAAAGACAAATTGATGGATTATCATTCAGAGTCATCGTAAGTCAACAATGGAAAAGATGGAAAAACATAAGAGCGGTGGTGATGATAGAAGATTCAACTTTATGAAACATATATATCACTTAAATTTGTTCATTCTATTGCATTTAAACCAGATAACACAAATTCAAAGTCTATCTGATGAACGCGTCGCAAAATTTTCCATGCTTCAGACACACCTTAGGCACAGACTGCCAGTATGGAACTAAGATCTAAAATTAGTCAGTAGATGAAAAATTAAACAAAATTTTCAATTTTCTTTATGAAGTCCCATTTCAAAGCTTGCAAAGATGCTCTTTACATGATTATGTCAGTGCAAATCTTATTATCTATCCAATTCATGTTCTAACTTCACTTCTTGCGGATGGAAAATAAAATTTTAGAGATATATCACGCTGTCGGGTAAGGTAATTGCTTGTTTGTGCAAACTACAAACTCTTTTGTTCCCAATAAATTTGACAGCAGCTTCATTGCTGCCACATAAGAGGCGTGTTCCTAAAAAAAGGATCTTATCTCTTGCAAATCAAAACAAAACCCTAATTCAGACAAACCCAAATCAAAATTCCTTCAAAAAAGGAACCCTACCTCACGATTGCCAGAAAATGGATCATCTCCCACCCTAAACCATCCCCAACTTTAGATGATTTTGAACCCCTAAACCCACCATTCTACCCAACCACGCCTCTTACGTGGCAGTAATGAAGCTGCCGTCAACTGCCAAATAGGATTCCATCTTGCCAACTCAGATGAAATCCAAACGGTTGGGTGGTGAGTTTTGGATAGAGGGACTCTTTTGTAAGTTCAGTAACCAGTCAGAAGAATCAGTGCCTATAACGTGACATTATACCAAGTTCAGTGATTACTGGAACTTTTTACTACATTAATCAATTTTGTGGCTCCATCTGCGTAAGCCTGATCAACGATTATATAAAACTCTAATGTATACATTGGTTTGAGAATTGCCTTTCCTTCCTCTATTAATTAACTAAGACCATGAAATTCTAAATTGCCAAATGCCAATCAGACGTGTCAGTTCAAAATTAACACTTGGCGATTATTGTATTCTTCTTGGAAACATTCAATTAACCATATATTGTTTTCATGGAGATAGAGACTCGTAATTAAAAAAAAAAAAAAAGTATAAAGAGGATCTAGGGTTTAAAATGGCGTACCTATTGCATTGAGTATCCGGGGTTGGAATATGAGTAAGATCCTGTGACAAGGAAGCAAGGTGATCGCAGTGTGTTCTGGCCTCCACCCAACCCGATTCGGACCCGTATAAGGGCACTTCGTCTACGGAAGCGGCATCTTCATTGATGGAAGGAAGAGACGAGGATGAAGCTTTATTCGCCATTGATCTTCTCAATTTGCTCGATGGATCCTAAATCTCGAGGAATTTAGCCTTTTTAAACACTTAAAAAATATGATCTTCGTCGGCAGCGTCTTTCCACCTTCTCATTGATTATTTCTCCACAGTCTTTCTCGAAGATACGAGAGATCTAAAGGTGGGTCGCAAGGCTATCTAGACGGGATCTAACTTGATTTCCCACAAAGTTTAGCGTAATTTGCATTTGCTTAAACAGGACCAGATGAAATTTGACTACAGTGTCACAAAAATTGGGGTGGGAGATGCAAACCAAATAAATGAACGATTTTCACTTTCCCCTTCATTCACTTCACTAACGTAAACCATTTTTCTCCAAATTCATAATTACAAAATTAAACATTAATCTCCTTCAAATTCTCAAACCCTTCTCATTCAAGTCAAAAACAATATATTCTCTTTCTTCTTTTGAGATCGAAAATTGTGCAGAGTTTTAAAATTAATAGTTTTGTCTATCAAGTGTTGAAGTTCGAAATCTAGCTTCTATGTTTCCCAAAAAGCGACAAGCTCACAGTTAGAAAAATCAATGTAAATTCTCATACCAACAATGAGTTTTCTGTATAGTGTTCAAATTGTGTTCAATTTCATCTGTACATATTCTTCTTCTTCTTGTGGAATCACTCTATTGAGTTTTTAAGTTTATGAATTTGGACTCCATGATATTTTATTTAAGATTGCATTTTTTTCCTATAAAAATTATTTCTGTATCTTTTATTCAGGTTTTCTTTCAAATAATTGCATTGGAAATTCAAATTGAGGGTTGGTAGATTTGGAGTTTTGGTTCATCAGTTGATGTTTAGCATATTCATTTTATTGAGTTCTTAATGATTTTTTTGGGAGTTTCATTTCTTATTTATTTTCTTAATTATGTGATTTTCTTACACTATCATTTGTATCTATTGAGGGAAAAATAAATTCATTGAAAATCTTATGACTATTTGTAATTTATTTACTCTATGAATCTAATATTTGTAATTGTTCTATCTGCTTTATTGTCTTTGAAATTTGTTGAAAATCAATGTTTCATTTGAAAGCCCAAGAATAGCTAACTACGAGGGAAGAAGTGAATTGATTTCTAAAACTTTTTCGAGAAATTAACTTAAAATCAAGTGTGTAATAACTGGATAGATTAATTCAAATAACGAACACGAATATGAAGCCAATAAGTAAAGAGGGATAGAGAGTGCAAACGATATAATTATGGACGTTGGATGCAAAGCAATGATCAACATCCTCCGTTACCAAACTCTTCGACACGAGTAAGGCCAATTTCACTATGTTGAATGACTTGTTGTGCAATCCAACCTCTTATAAAGCTTCCGGTGATTTACAAGCAAAGAGCACCGATCCTTTTACAATGTTAAACTTTTCGGGACCTCAACACGACCCACAAGTTTAAAGAGAATTGAATTAACAAACCGAAACTTCTCTCTTTATAATTGATATGATCACAATTAAGTATCAAGAGATAAATAAGTTAACACTTTAATGGATAGCAATGAGTGAAGCTCAAGTGATAGGTTTGGAAAAACTTTTATTGTGTTGGATGATTTTCAAAATTCATTAAAAGTTTTTTTTGAAGCAAAATGATTTGATAATAGTATATAGGATGAGAAATCAATGATATTTTGCTCAAAAGAACTCACTTTAATACCCTGTTGTTGTATTAATGAATAGCAAATGAGTTGATATTTATAGAAGTGAGAAAAGCAACTTTTTCTGCCTAATCGGACGACCCATCTGGGCGTCCAGAACAGTACCGAACGACCCAAAAAGTAGCCATTGAAAATCAATCAGAACGATCGAAAATTTGGTTCGGATGGCCAGAAATATTTCTGGGCTAAATTCTATCAACTAGTAGATTTTTGCATGACATTTTTACTGGATATTTCAAGGTAAGTGATGTTTAATAGTATTTAAGATTAATTCAGAAACCTTATATTTGAAAAATAATTTTTGTGCAAACGCGAGTTTTTATCGTGCATAAAAAATTCGTTACTTGAACTTTCAATGTATCATTGCTAAGAATTAAAATGTTTTGCTTTTACAAACGAGCTAAGAACACCTAGTTCCAATATCTTCGATTAATTTTGGCATGAGCTCGATTTGTTGCTCGATTTTGAAATGGCGCAATTTTTGTCTCCATTTGATTTGACATGAGTGCTCGATCATTTTGAGCTTTTTTTGATCGACAACATTTCGTCCAATTAGTTTGTCTCCAATTTGATTAAGCTAGCAACATTTAACATTTGAAGATTTGAATATAAATATTAGTGATGAACATACTATTGTTTGTTATAATCAAAACATAATATTGACCGTAGGTCACTAATTTCCCTATTTTTTATTAAGGCAAACGATAGATGATTTGCAACACTTTTATTTCATATGATTCATACATTTGCAAAGCTCTTCCCCCTTTGTTTTATAGATTAAGAATTCTCCATTTCTTAAACACATTAAGCATGCATATCATAATTATGTTTTCCACCTTTTGGCATAAGCAAAAAGAACATGAAGTAGGGAAATATAAAGCAAAACATAAGGCAAAGAAACTTATATAAAATGTTGCCATGAAGCAAAATGTAACAAGATATCCATAGTAAAGCAAATAGAGAAAAATATATGAAAAAGTAAGATCAAACTATGACTAGGACTCCAGAGTAGGTGGAAGAGGAAACCGAGCATAGAAGTGGGAGTAGAAGGCATTCTATTGATCCTGCATCGTCGTCTTTTGAGCCTAAATGGCTTCCTGTTGAGTGAGTACCCGTTGGAGAATTCCATCGAGACCATCAACTGGGGATGTGAGAGAGTCAATGCGGCTATTCGAGAAGTTGTACTGATCTTCGGTGAATGTGAAGTCGCTGCTCGGGGAATAAGGAATGAGGGATACTAGACTCCGGAATGTCATGAGGAAGAACATGAGCTTCTTGTACGTCATCGTCGTCATCTTCTTAACGGACCCGAGATAGGGTCGAATCCCCTGGTATGTATCACCCACTGACCATGTTCTTTGGTGATTTTCATGAGTTTAAGTGGTTTTGATATTGATAGTGTCGGTGGGTTTAAGCTGGAAAAATGTTTCACTGTCTAATGAGATGTGAAAGTGTTTGAAAATCTTTGTAAGAAGCATGCTATATGATAAAACTTTAACATTTCGTGACGAATGGACAACATTCATTAGTCCTACTGCAATGATTAGGAAATCAAGTTTCCTACCTATAAGAAAAGAATCGAGAAGGAAAAGATCAAATGAACTCATTTTATCTTGATGCCATTTTCGAGGTAGGATAATATTTGCAATAATGTTGTGTAAAATCTTTTATGGAAGAGACAATTAATGTGCACTCACTTTGGTGATTTTTTAAAAACAAAATTCCGGTAACGCGACGGCTAGCCTTGGTAGGCTCATAACCGTTTAGCATTGAATGTGCCTTGTGCAGAAAAATTTGTGTTTCACACGCTTCAAGTTCTAAGATTTCACGAATGAGTGTTTTGTTAATAATAACACGTTTATTTTTAATTAAACATGAAATTGTTATACTATTGTAAAATTCTTGCATAAGTCGTGGGTATGCATGCTCTTCTAGTGTTGCAATTGAAACCCATCCCATATTTTCAAAAAGTTCATCAATGTGAAATGCTGGTGCTTCAAACATAAAGTCGACAAAATCAATGTTCTTACCAATTAAAATGAGTGATTTTGCAAATGGGTTGATCGACACCTCGGTTCCGTATCAAATTTCTCGTCGAATGATGGTGGAGGAGATTGGCATACCGTACTCTTGAGTCTTTTCATCGTTCTTCAAGACATTGCAAAAAATAAAGAAGCTTTGGAGAAAAAAGAATTAGATTTTTGGATTTGGGAAAAATGGAATAAAATGGATGAAATTTGAATTTTTTGGAAATGGTTAGATTGTAGAAGTAATGAGTTTTTGAAATTTAAGGGTAATTGATGATTTGAGGAGAATAACTAGGTAATGGAGAAGACGTTTAGGGAGAGAGAAGTGGAGAAGGGTGGAGAAAATGGGAGAGAAAGGGTTGTGTTACATGATTTTAAGAAAGCCTCAGACGCTGAATTGGACGTCCGGATGAAATTTTTTTAAAAATACTAATGCTCATGAATTAAGGTAAAGAAGATAAGATACATAAAAGAGTATGTAGTTTCAATTATGTACTTCAAATTCATCAATTATACCTAACCTCTTCTAAGATGTGAAAATCGATTAAAAGCTAGAGGTTTTGTGAAGATATCGGCCAATTGATTTTCCGTGTTTACGAATTCTAGTACAATGTCACCTTTTTTAGCATGGTTTCTCAGGAAGTGATGTTAAATTTCAATATCTTTCGTCCTAGAGTGTAAAATATGATTTTTAAATAAGTTAATAGCACTAGTGTTATCACACATGATGGGAGTATGATCAAATGATAAGTAATAATCACAAATAGTTTATTTCATCTATAGAACTTGTGCACAACAACTTGCAGTCGATATATATTCGGCCTGGAGGTGGATAATGCAATAGAGTTTTGTTTCTTGCTAAACCATAATACAAGTGCAAAGCCTAGAAAATGACATATTTCGCTAGTGCTTTTTCGAGCATTCTAATAGCTAAGTAGATCGATGTGAGTGCCCTTAGGATACCAAAGACCTAAAGTTCTGGTACCACTAAGATATCTAAAGATTCATTTTTCGTCCTTAAGATGTGATTCTTTAGGATTAGATTGAAATCTAGCATATATACATACACTAAACATAATATCGAGTATACTTGCGGTTAAATAAAGAAGGGATTCGATCATACCTCGATATTTTGTTATATCAACGGACATACCTTGACCGTCCATGTCCAATTTTATAGATGAGCTCATATGGGTGTTCATTGGCTTCAAATCATCCATATCGAATTTCTTGAGCATATCCAAAATGTTCTTACTTAAATTGATGAAAATTTCATCACAAGTTTGCT